CTGTCATATTACATATTGTTATTTATCTTCAGCAGAGTTGCTTAGATTACCAGATGTTAATTACAGAGCTCTTTTCCACCGCAAATTTTCAGGTCTACATATTCACCATTCCATCCCCCATTATCACATAAATAGTGAGAAATAGTACCTGGTACAATAAAAGGTATACAGGTTATTCAAACTAAACAGGGTCATTACTGACATTAATAAATAATTCTAGGAGATTCATCTTTGTCTTGGGATTGGTGTGTGTGTGTGTGTGTGTTTGCTTGCTTGTTTACTCGTTTTTTCCCACTAGAACTGGTAAGCTTTATCAGGAAAGGAATGTCTGAGGAAAAAAAAAATTCACACAGGAAGTAGAAAGCAAGCTGGAAAACCACACAACGAAGTAAAATAAGAACACTGTGTGACTTCAGAGTTAGATTCCTAAAATTTTGCTTTGTTTCCCTAGATCCACCCACCAGTTGTACTATATAAATTATATATATAAATTATATAAACTGCTCTTGAAACAGATAAAAATTGCCACTTGAAAATGAAGAGCCTTGGTGAATCAAAACATGTTCTAAGAAATCTTAAATTGAGTTATACTGCTTTATTTCTATAATACCTAGGCAGCCATTTTGAAATTCTGACAATAATTTTCTTTTCCTATAGCCTAGAGAGCTTTATGCAATTCTGGTCTCTGAAATTCATTCTGCTCTGAAGAATGAAATATAGTTTTATGTATTTTTTTAAATATATATTTCCACACACAGAATATAAAGAAGAAATTTTTTGACAACCTGAAGGAATGTGAAATCAAAACAGAAACAGCCCATTATCCCGTTATCTATGGACATTTTCTTCGTATGTGTGTAGTATATTTATACACACAAATGTATGCAGCTAAAATAGTAATCATATGACAAGTGCAATTTTTATTTTATTTCATATGCAGTAGAAATTTCCTTCCCATCATTATAGTTTTTTATATAGCTTGAGATTACAGCTCATCAGTTTATTTTTCATAAGCATAGGATAAAATACTTGTTGAAGCATCTCCTCCCTCCTCACTCAACAAAATATAAACAATTACTAATAGTTAAATATCACTATTTTGATTGCAATCAGCAGGATTGATTACAGCGCTATTAATTGGGTACATGTCAGCTCTTTCTGTGGGTAGTCTTCAAGTCATTTGAACCATGTAGGTACAGGAGCAAGTGATTCTCCACCTACATCCTTTCTCTGCATGTCAAACTTCGCCAAGTGATATTAATTTAGTAAGTGATATTTCTAAAATACAAATCTGAACTCTTCACTCCATCACCCAAGTTCCAATCAAATCCAGTTTGCTCTTTAAGGGGGATGAGCAGCTGCTGTGATTTGAGCCCACCTTCCTTTCCTCTAACAGATCAGCCAAGCCCTTCGCTATGCCTTTTTTTAGTTTCCTGATTTTACCGAAATAAATTCACAATTTCCAGCTGTACAGCTTTGTGCAGTTTATTATAATAACAATAGGATTATTATCTAAAGCTAGAAAGCCTTCAAACAGGCCAACCGTGCCATTTGAAAAAGTCTTTCACATTCCTCAAAAACCAAAAATGAGCATAGCCCTTCTTGAACTTTCTGTTCTCTTTCTTCTCCACCTACAGGTATTCAGGTCAGAGGTAAATATCCTCTCCACTGTTCCCCACATGCCCCCATGCATCCTACGTCAGGGTCTTTCTGGCCTGCGTACCACCTCTGCTGACATGCCTGATACTTTCACTAACTTGAGCATTGACATGCCAGGGCCTACCCTGTGTATCCTTTTATAGCCACAGTGCAAACACAGAAGCAGCCCTTTCTAGCTTTATTTTTTTTAACACTTAGTAATTATATTCCTGCTCTAGATTGTACTATTCTAGTTTCTTGGGTTTTATTTTGTTTTCTTTTAATTTTTGAACATTCCTTCCAGAATGAACATATCAAAGAAAGGATATTTTGTCCCGTGTGATCATACCAGTGTTCCTCATTCAAAGATTTCACAGTGCAACACACATTAGATATTCACTAAATATCTACTGAATGTAAATCAGCCATTGAATAGAAAGGCAGAGGGCACAGATGATAACTGTGTGGTTTTTCTCAGACAATTATTTCAGCCACTTGAGTCGAATTATATATGCTTATAACTAGTCACTGGGCACCAACACACTCCTGTGATGAGTAGGTGGCTGTCCTATGGTTAATCGTATCTTGGGACAAGCCATCTTAAGTGTGCTAACCTCAGAAGAAGTCACTGTTGATTTTCACAGTCAGCAGCCATCTCAGCTGAGATTCATGAAATCCTGGCTATTCCTTACATGTTACAGGTGAGAAAACAGCACAAAAATGTAGAGGCAAAAGGATATTCCCCCTTTATCCTCTGAATTTTCAGTGGAATATACTGCCTAACAGATTAGGAGAAAAGGCAAACATTTATTTACATGTAAAAGAGGGAAAATCACAGCAAGGAAGGAAATGATGGGAATGCTTTATAGGCATACCAGGGAATTTTTGTGGAAAGCTTTTCCCTGTACTGAGAAGGAGACCTTGATTCTGAGGTAGAAGCTAGTGCTCAGCATGTGGAAGCATCAGACTTTGGGGCATCATTTTCTGAGCCCCAACAGAAACACCACCTGTACTAGACCAAGGTTCCTAAGCAGCTGTTGCACTCCTCAGTTTATGACTGTCTCACTCAGCTCTTAGAGCTCCTGCTGCCAGGGACTCTTTTCTCAGAGATACACCGCACACACAGTACCTTTCTGCGATACCAGGGCTGAAGTTTAGAAGCCATTCGTCAGCTTGTTTCAATTTATGTGCCTATAGAGCAGGCCCAAATCCCTAAGCAGGAATAAATCACTTGCCGAATTCTGTGAAGAGTCCTTTGTAACTTCTCCCAACGACAGCACTTGTAAGCCATAGATCACGAGTCACTGCACTCTCCCCTAGGACTTCACATTTTGCTCATGAATGTATAATATATTTGGGGAGTTATGGTTTTAGTAACTGTCAGTGTAAACCCCTAATCCTTACATCCTCAAACTGTGGCCAGAAAATGTTTCTAATGAAATTGTGATCAATGAAAGAAAGACAAAGAAAAAGGTGAGAAAGTAAATGAAAAGGGAAAAAGGAAGGAAGAGAGGAGAGAAAGGAAGATGGCATTTGCTCCTCTATTACTGAAATTTTCCCTTTTCAACTACACAGTTGTAAAAATGTCATCTCAAACAGCAAGCTTCAAGATTCTCCGTGGAAAAATCAGTGAACTTTCTGTCAGCCATCGCAGCTGAAGCTGGCAAGGTTGCTATGCCTGCCAGAGCAGGGGTTTTATGCGGCTGGGATTTTGCAGAGCTATTATTCAGTTAGACCTAATAGCAAGAACCTTCACCTACACCTTTGAGCTCACTTGGACTTTAAATTTAACTTAATCTCAGGTTATATCAAGCGGGCAAGGGAGTTAATGGATAAAACCTATTTGCTGAAATTATAACTTCTAGTACCAAAAATAAGAGGTCACCTAGGATTTAGCACAGTATGTAGTAAGAAATTCAGTGCCATGTCTTTCAATACCTGCATTTTGATAAAGGTGGACACCAGCTGTAAATCTAGGGAAGGACAAATCCACCAACTTCCCTTTCTTCCCCTGTATCTTTCACTCTCTTGTGGTTTGTTCATTTCCTCCTGTCTTTCCTGTGTCTTTGCTGATATCCCTCTTACCTCCCCTTATTTCCTCCTTTTACTCATTGCATCTTTCTTGGCTTCTTATTTTTCCTCTGACCATTGCTTTGCTTTTCTACTAATGTGAATGTACATTTCACTGTACATTTTTCCTTCTGCACGCCAGCTATTGAAATTGGCTTTGAGGCAGATAACTGTGAATATCACAGGGTCCCTTGCTTCAAGAAAAGCATGCTGGCTATAGAAGGTAGGCTTGCATATAATTAAACAGAAGAGAAGTAGAAGGCAAATAAGGAATGCCATCAGTCCTAATTGCTGTAATTATGGAAAAGAGACCCCACCCCTCCTCTCTCTTTTACTTCCTATCGGCCCAACTTAGAAACTTTTGTTCATCTTTTTTTCCCCTGTTACCTATAGAGAATTTAAATTACTTCTTGAAATAAAAAATGTAGTGTGACTAAGGAGCAATTTTACATAATATTCTTTTTTATACAGAGCCAAAGAACTCCTCATTGTTATTGATATGTTACTAATTACACTGAAAAAAGAGAATTCTACACCCACTTAAGTGGTGTGTAAAATTGGCAAGCCCTAGGAACTGAGACTCCTGAAATTATACATAAATGCAAGAATACCAAATTCTTGAGTTACTCTATCTTCCATTTAAAATGATCTTTTATATGTTTTATTTTTTTATGTTCTTTAATTTCGCACAGTGTGATTCTGCCAAAAAATTATTTGAATTCCTGTCTTCCTTTGTATCCCACGTACATATAAACATTTTAGTATAAAAAATTAGCTTGATTGTAAACCTTATGTCCAGATAATAAGCCACCAGTCACACTTTATTCTAGAAGAAATGCTGTCCTTATTCCTTTACCACATTCATTTTAGAAGAAAAAAATTTTCAGATTAAAAACTAAGCTTCTGCTTATCATAGGTCAGGCAGTAGCACCAGCTCAGGCTGAGGCTTAGAAATCCTTTTTGATTCTGAAATTAAAACAAGGGTGAGAGGGAAATGGAAGCCAATACACTGAGTCAGGGAATAGTTTGCAGTAAATGATGGTCTCAGGGTTCATGACATAGTGTGACATGGGTAACAAGCTGGTACACAGAAAAAAGGACAGTAATCTGGTATAATTTGACACATTGACTTTCTGTGCACTGACTAGAAATAAAGTTAGATTCTACGTACTTTATTAAAATGGGAGATAAGGAGGTGTTATTTAGCTTAAATATAGAGTTGAGAGTATGAGAGATTACTTTTCCTCACCATGGCTACATACAGGCTCTGGGCCCTGTAAACAAAAGGCAAATTAGCAAACAAAAGCAAATTCATTTATTGACGTTTTAGGACATACAGTATACTTCATAAGGAAACAGAAATCCAAATAAGTTGCTAATTTTCTGTATTTTTAGGCTTAGATTTAACAAACAGTGGCCGAGTGGGGAGAAATCTGACTGAAAAGCTCAAGTGTGTCATAATTTAGCAACGTTTGTTTGTTAGGATTGTCCTGGGTGTGTCTGTGTCTTCAGCTTCTTTCTTCCAGGTGTGGAAAGGCAACCATCAAATGAGGTTTTAAGACCAGCTTCAGGGTAGAAGGATGAGAGAAGATCGATGTAGCTGTCTTGCTTCTGGTGTTTTCTGAAGAGCCGAAGTTCCATATTTCATATTCTGATTCGCTTTAAAGACTTCTAATGATTCTACCACCTGAATCAGTACCAGACACAGCTGATATGCCACCTAAGGAAAACAACAAAAAGCTTTCACACAATTTGTACCGTACATAGTGCAAGGCTCCAGAATTGTTCCATACCATTTCAGAGTTTCCTCAATCAAAGACATCAAAGGGGTAAATTTCTTAAACCTTAATATGAAAGGACCATTGACAAGATTCTGTTAGCAAGTGGCTCATTGACAATTTCAAATCTTTGAGAGGGTCGTTGACCCCTTTCTCATGTTATTTTCTCTTATTTTTATGCTGTACTTACTTTTTATGATAACTTTACAACCTAATTTTATTACCATAACTTTTTGAGGTTCAAAACCTATAAGGCTAAGCAATGACTTGATGTCTCTCTTTGTTTAGCTCATGTCGGTATTAAAGCAAATATATTCCAAACTGAGCTCACATCTATGCTCAACTGTATTTTCTGGACATGGGAAACTTGTTTGGGGAAAAAATTGAGAATAATCTTGAAACTCTTTTGTGTTTTACCATCTGTCTTATTGATCATTGTAAGTTCTCTGGACACAGAGACTGAGATGGGAAAGTAGGTTCACACGACATTCTGTTAAAGAAGAGGTAGTCCTTTAGAGGTAGGCAGGCATTGGCCAAACACTATGAGTCTGAGGAATGAAGAATAGTATATTACACCTGAGATTTGTCTCATATTTCTTTAAAGAAGAAATAAATTGTGAGCCTAAGAGCCAACTTTTAACAGCAGTTAGTGGTTCAGTATGGCAATGTGTGAACACTATATCATCCATTCCAAAACTATATGTAGTGTACCATCTAGATTTATCAATTTAAATTCTTAAATAATTATCAATCTAGTCATTTTTATCATTCTATCATCACTCTTGTTCAAAACAATGTTTTTGCTCAGGACAAACAAAATATCATCTTTATTGGTTTTTGCAAGTCTACTTGAACGCTTGTCCAATTTATTCTCTAAAAGATAGTCCTTGACTTCTTTAAAAAAAAAGGTAAGCCATGCCTCTGACCTAATTATGATTCCTAGAATAAGTCCTCAATTCTACAAAATGGCTTATTAAATACAGCTTGAGTTGGGCTTGTATCATGCCCTCCAACCACTTTGCTGACTATATTTTTCATACTTCACTTTGTTCTAGCTAGAAGAGGATACTGTTGTTGCTTCAAAACCTGAAGGTGCTTCTTGCCTCACTGTGCTTGTGCATGCTTCTAAACACTTTTCTCCTGATCAAGCTTGTTGAAGATAAAACCTTCATCTTCCTCTAACTTCCTACCCTAAATTTGAGCCTGCAGCTTTTCTGCTCTCACTGTGTACAACACTCTACTTTTGTAGCACTTTCATCAGAAATATGTCTCTGTGGGTGTTTATGACTCTGCCTTTTTAATAATCTATCCCTTCCCATAGCTTACAAGACTTTTAAGCCTCTAGAAAGTGAAATTTTTCTTTGGTTTATGTTTGCCATTCTGTCTCAATTCTCCAAAACTCCTTAACACACGTTAAGCTTTCAGTAAATATTTGTCAAGGGAAAACACCAATAAAGACAAATACATTGGACTGGGGAGGGAAAACCAGAAATACTTCAGTGATTCTAATCTGAGTTCTTAAAATCTCCATATTACCATATTTATTTAGATCCATTTCCGGCACTGGTGATGTGCCTAGAGAATCTATCTGCTGTTAGTTAGGAAACCAAAGCGAAAAACTAGTAAGAGCAATGTGATTATTATTCTAAGGGAAACTTGTTAAGTAAATTTTATGTATTATCTCCTTTGGACCTCATATAAATTAGACCCTATTATTTTCTCAATTCTGTGGTTTAAGAAATTGAAGCTCAGCAAAGGTAGTTAACTTGCTCAAGATTATGCAACTACTAATTGTGAATCCAGTGTTCAAAATCATGTTCTCATTCAGGATATACACAGTGTAAGGAGTAAGAATGTGAGTTTTATAAGCAAAAAGATGCAGTTGGAATAGCAGCTCTGATATCTTTTAGACATGTGAACATAAGGAAGTCATTTAACCTCACCAAATATGTTCCCTTTATGGAGATAATAAATGCATCTGCTTCTCGGGGCAGCATTTAACATAAGATCAATCAGTTGAAGAGCACTCAAATGATACCCACTGCTATTGCCACTGGGATTTTCATCACCAAGTTACAGAAAATCTAAAGGCAACTGTGTGAGAAATGGAGGCTGTAACATGATCTTCAGAGTCTGCTCAGAACTTACTGCCTACTTTGTATGTATGAGCTGGTGGAGAAAAAGGTCATAACACCAATTTGGATACTACTGAGAAACAATGGTTACTGGGTAGACAAGAAATAAATGAAATTTTTTATTATTATACATTTTACTACTAAATTTAATATCTACACAACAGATATCCAATAATGTCTTTTCTGTAATGCACTGTATGTGTAAAAAACCATGCAAGACAGAGGAGATAGAGATAGAGATGAGACAAACAGAGAAGATAGAGAGAGACAGAGAGAGAGGAGAGAGATGGAAAGAGAGGAGAGAGAGAGGAAAAAAAAACTTATGTAATCTCAATATCTTAACTTTCAGTCCTGAAGTCACTCTGGTATATGTATATCAAAATTAGATGCATTTTTAAAATTGTGTAGGAACTCCAGATGTCTCACTGTCTTAAGTACCATCAGCACCTGTCTGAGGAAGAGCGCTTATGATACTGGAACCTGTGAGGCTAATTGTTCTTGACAGAAGCAGTTTCCATAAAAGTTATGTCAAACCCTTATCACTGCCTATAGACTTTCTATGAATACATTTTTCTCCACTATGGATTTAGATATATTGTACCAATTGGGAAAGTATCTTTCAATTATTAAATTTGTCCAGTCATTTACTGAAAGTAAAAACCCCTTTAGTTTAACTGTCTATCATATCACATCTGAAGTTCATCCTGGACATGGTTTTAAGAGCCAGATGCAGAGTATATATTAATAATGTCAATGATTTTTCTTAAAGCAGTATGTTTGGGTCATACAAAATGAGTAGTACAGTGGTATTATGATGTAGTTTAGAGGAAGTAAACCCTACAGAGGGAAACATGCAGCATTTTCCTTTCCTACTCCCAGCTATCAGAAAAATATACTGCTAAAATTTATAAAATTTCTTTATAAAGTGAAAAACAATGTCTTTTGAAATAAAGAGCCTGAATTCAAATATCAGCTGTACCATTTCTAACTGCACGGTCTGACTTTGAAAACATTGGAAGCCCAATTTTTCCATACATAAAAAAGATAAAGAAATTAAAATAAAAATGCAACTCTCTTACACCTCAGAACCTCATATCTTAAATTTTAACTGGAGGCAGTCTTCTTCAATCCCCCCAAGGACTCTATAAAATAAGTTCCATTGAATTTACAATAAAGCTATAGAGAACTAGATTTTTTTTCTGATTTTTATAATTCATTAGGTCATATCTAAATGATCATACTAAAAATGTTTTAATCCTTCTAGAATTTATACCTTGCTACAGTTTTTAAATTTTAAGAAAATTCCAAATTTATTGTCTCACTGAGGATCTTTCTTTAAAAATAAAAATCTCCACTTCTCCCAAATAATGTTAATTCATGCATCAAATTTTGGCATGATTAAAAATATCTATCTAATGAATATAAGATATGAGGACATTTCCTCTCAATTTGGTCTTATTTTACAGAAGGTCACAGTAACTTATTTTTCCTTTCTTCATTTAGCTAAGATTTTATATATATATATATAAAATCTCATATATATAATATATCATATATA